CCTCCACCCACCCACCCACCCATCACGCGCGCGCGCGTGTGTGTGTGTGTATGTGTGTGTGTGTGTGTGTGTGTGTGTGTGTGTGTGTGTGTGTGTGTGTATGTGTGTCGTGCGTGTGTGTGTGTGCGTGTGTGTGTGCGTGTGTGTGCGTATATATATATATATACTCAGAGAGACGTACTAGGGTAATTAACGCAGAGCCTTGTCATGGATAATTATTGTAAATGTACGAATCACACACGCGACCGTTTACTTATATACGCCTCTATCCATCGCAACACGCGTCTTCATGATTCCAGCAGTGACGAAGCTTCGCATGCAGGCACGTCTTCACCTGTCATTTGCCCTGATTTTCTAATCTAAAATTATCGTTATCAAGCATTCTGCTCGTTGCTGTCGCCGCGGAAACGAGTGCAATCTTGCGTAATCTAGTGCAATCTAGCGTAATTTAGCGCAATCTAGCATCGACCATGGCCATGAGAAATAGATTTCTACAGGGAAGTTGATAAGAGGAATGATTACTACATGCGCCAGTGTAGGGAAGCTGCTTGCTACCCGTGATCGTATTAGTGATTACGCGTGAGTGTATATGTAACACCCTTTGCTAACGTCTATCGGACTCATATTACAAAGAACACAACAACACTGGTATACGTATTCAGTGACTCTCTTTATATGTACTATGTATAACTCAATAACAAAGTATGCGCGTACACTAGGTTTACGCGAGACACGTCATAACTTACTAGGCTAATGCTGGATCGTACACACACATTTATCCATCCATCCATCCATCCATCCATCCATCCATCCATCCATCCATCCATCATCCAGGATGGATGGATGGAGGATGGATGGATGGATGGATGGATGGATGGATGGATGGATGGATGGATGGATGGATGGATGGATGGATTTGGATGGATGGATATCCATCCACCCATCCATCCATCCGACCACCCGACGATTTATCTAGCCTGCCATCCGGATGAGCAAAAGATGAGCGCGAGTGAACCTCAGCGAGAGCGCGAGACAGCAAGATAGAGCGCACGACAACAAAAACACACATGAACCCCACATTAACGCGTGCACATCTTCTCTCTCGCAACAGAAGAAGAAATGCTGTCGACGGCAGCGCCGCCTGGCGAGGGCGGCACGGCGTTCGGCGGGGATTGGAACATCTGGTTGAAGCTCGATGAGAAGCAGGGTTGCAAGGACGTGCGGCTGTACGTGGCGGCGTACGGCGATACTGGCCGCACGGCGGACATGCCGATGAATCCGCTCATGCTGCATGGAGCCACCTACCAGTACCTGGTCAGTGACGAGTGCTGCAACAAATGGCAGTATATACATCAGCTATATAATTATAACAGTAGCAGTGATAGCGCGTCACGCAGAGTACGCAATCTATGCGTTTGATATGCTGCCGCGTGTGTGTGTGTGTGTGTGTGCGTGCGTGCGTGCGTGCGTGCGTGCGTGCGTGTGTGTGTGTGTGTGTGTGTGTGTGTGTGTGTGAGCGCGCGCGTGCGTGCATGTGTGCATGTGTGCGTGTGTGATTGCGTGCGTGCGTGAGTGCGCGCACGCGCGCGTGTGTGTGTGCGCGTCCGCGTGTGTGTAATATACTACTCTAGCTACCACTACCTGGACATATTGCGTGTAAATCCAGGTGAAAAGCTAACGGGAATGATAGGGAGGGTCGTTGAACCGCTTTTCTTGTCCGTCTTTTGTAGTTGACGTTTGGAAACATTGGAAACCTCTTTAAGTTACGATTCGCGCTGCATAGCAACAGAGAGGCGGCAGCCTGGTTCATAAACAAGGTAAAGTGATGCTTATATATATACACCACAACATCGTAGGTTTACGCATAATAAAACTACTAAAATATATAGTTTTACTCAAGTGTTGTTATACTAACTATTCGGTCTATTATTCCAGAGGTCTAGTATTATATGTGTTCCTTTTTGCCCTTTTATCGTGTTTTTTTGTCTTTATTCACACATTTTCGGTTAAAAATCGCTTGTTAGACAATTTTTTCCAGAATAATGATGAAATATAGTTATATATATATATAATAACAATACTAATAATAACGATAATAATCGTAATAATAATATGCCTAAAATACTAGTTATTGTATCGGTTGATGAATGAAATTTTAGATAAAGCTGAAGAATGTGACAAGTCATCAGGAGTTCCTTATGTACCCCGTCGACTCGCTGCGTTGCACGGCCGACTCCCCAGTCAGCTACATGGAGCTGGCAACCATCCTACCCGACGTACCCCCTCTAGAGGGTAAGCGCTTCTGTCATCTCACAGCGTGCGTGCGTGCTTGCGCGCCTTCGTACGTGCATGCGAATGTGCGTGCGTGTAAGCGTGCGAGCGTAGTGCCTGCGTGCGTCCTATAAATAAATAAATAAATAAATAAATAAATTTCCATGGATACATAGATAGATAGATAGATAGATAGATAGATAGATAGATCGACAGACATACAGACAGACAGACAGACAGACAGACAGACAGACAGACAGACAGACAGACAGACAGACAGACAGACAGACAGACAGACAGACAGACAGACAGACAGACAGACAGACAGACAGATAGACAGATAGATAGATAGATAGATAGATAGATAGATAGATAGATAGATAGATAGATAGATAGATAGATAGATAGATAGATAGATAGATAGATAGATAGATAGATAGATAGATAGATAGATCGTATCAAATCTCTATCTATCTATCTATCTTTTTCTATATGTATCTATATGTGTATATGTATAATGTATATGTATATCAGGGGGTAATAATGGCAAATAATGACAAATAATAATGTCATTATTAACACCCTGATACACACACACACACACACACACACACACAC